GTTAACGTATGCGTTTCCGACCCAGTTATCCATCAAACGTTAAAAAGGAAAAAAAATATTGGATGCATAAAGTGAGATGCCCTTATACGAATAGTCTATTAGTTAGAGAGAGAGAGTTAACATCAAACCCTCGAAGGTTCTAAAACATAAGCACCGCCACCACATGTGCACGTTTTGACCATTTGGGTTGCCTACTACCCTACATGTCTTTGCTTATGATTTGCATTCGCTTTCAATTTCGTTTGTTATTGTTCTTGACCGATCTTCTCAAACACTTTCAATGGAGCATGTACAGATGAAAAAAAAACAACCCGCAAACAATTTGAAAATTTAGTTTTTTAGAGTTTGTGGACAAAAATAAAGTTTATTTTCAAGACCATTTGTTAATTGTTCTAATAAAGCTAACCTTATGAGACCACCAAAAGACATATTTTCGTTTTAAATTTAAAACTAATTATAGCTAAAACACAAAATTACGCTCTGATTAAACACAATTGTTTAATTTATTCCTCCGAGCTTAACTTCGAGGGACGCACGTTAAGTTCGATAGCGGCATGTGATTTGATGCTGTTATTCTGAAGCACTATTTCTTAATATAACGTTCGTCCATAGCGTGCGCCTGTTATAATATAAAGGTTTTACTGATACAACACACCAGTTGGAGCCACATAACGTGTTTGACGGATAACATGCACGTTAAAGTTAACGTGAGTGATACAGCACAGGGCTGATTACCAGATATAAGAAACATTTTATAGAAATGCGACTCCTAGTTCGGGACTGCTCGATCTACCGCTTGGAACTACTGTTGTGAAGTAGAGATTTCATAACCCGCACCATTTCTGTATCTCTCTTTCTCGACATCGATTCTTCAATCAAAATATTTACTATATAATTTTGGATTGCGTCTGAGAATTTGTAATTTAACGTAAAAATTCGTTTCTGTTTAAGCTAGCCGCTCCCAATTTTCTAAAATTTAATGAGTTTAATGAGTAGATGTGTTCACAGGTCAACTAAAATATGCAGACGTTACTGCAAATTAGAAAAAATGTGGCTAATTGTCTCAGGTTCTCATTCATACAAGTCCACTGTTTTATTATCGTAGCTTGGTTAGCTCAGGCCTACTAAACTAGGTGAGTTATTGACAATCTAAAATAAATGTT